GAAATTCCTGAGAAAAAGGTTAATAAATGCTTTGAACAGTTAATATGCCTACTCTAATAACTCCTCCAAATTTCTTTTTTTTTTTTGGAGAGATTTTTCACTGTAGGGCGCGTGCGCTCGCCAGACAGACAGAGAGAGACATAGAGACAGAAAGCGAGAAATCACCCCCCAGGGGGGATGGTCACGCCGCAATCCCTTCTCCTCCATTCTCCTCTTGGGATCTTGGGCACGCACGCACACGCGCCCGGCGTGAGTTTTAAGCCACCGGGTCCGGGACACGAACCGCGGTCGACTACGTGGGAGTCCAGCGACATAGCCATTACGCTAACTGCTGGTTCCCACTCCTCCAAATTTCTGACCTCAAACATTCATAAAATCTCAGCTCAGGCTTGCATCAAGTCCAGCTCAATCAAGATTTCCAGGAGCCCTGTATGTCAGCTCTGGGGGGATTACACAGAAACTCAAAGGAAAACTGGTACAAAGTGAGTTTTATCGGGAAGGAGCAATGGCCTCTGGATTTCTGGTTTTGTTTTTGGAGGCCCTCTGGTTGTTTCCCAAGGTCCTAAGCCCCTTCCTATCATAGGCGAAGGCGACTCTGAACGCTAAGGTAAGGCTGCAGCGCTGCGGTGGAACTCACACTGCCGCACACGCTTCTGCAGCACCACCTCTTACACTCGCCAGCCAAACGGAAGACACGCGGGACAGCAAAGAGCAGTCATTTCTCACGAAGGAAGTCTGACAGCGATCTAGTAAACAGAGTCAGAGTCCACCAGAAGCCATTTCTGCCGAGTCCTTAGGAGGGGGTGTCTGCTGCCTGCTACGGCATCTGCGTTGCGGTTTTACAGGAGGGCCAAATAACTGACTGGCCTGAAAACACAACGAAAACCAGTTTTACTGATCTTTCGGCAAATGAGACCAACTATCCCTCTCTTTACAGCACGTAACTCTGAATTACTGCGGGTAAAATAAGCAAACTCGCTGCCCCATAATATGAAGGTGTCTGTGCCATTCACATAAACAATCTGAAGAGCCTGCTCCTGGCCTGCTCGGTTCATGCACACTGTCATCAGTCGGGACCCTCCACCGTGTTTCAGTAGTGAAGCATCCATGCCTAGTTTATCTATTAGCTTGGAGAATAAAGGTAAAGTTAATTCCCAATTCTAGAAACTAGAATCCAGTTTCTTTTCTAGAGAGGAGGAAGTATGTGAATATTTGAGACATAGGCCAATATTCAAATAACTACAAATACGTAGGTGAGAATGAATACATTATTTTCTCCTTAGGACATCTAAATATTGAAGATCTACTTCCCCAGAAGAAAGCATTTAAAAACTCATGACTGGACCAGCAGATGGCATAATGGCTGGGGGACTCCCACGCAGTTCACCACGGTTTGAGTCTCGGACCTGCCAGCGTGTATGTGAGTGCCCAAGGTGCCGAGAGGAGAATGGAGAAGGGATCGCGGGGTGGCCAGCACCCCCCAGGGGGTGACTTCTCACTGTCTGTCTGTCTCTCCAGCCAGCAGCGCATAGGCCTATGGTAAAAACCTCTAGAAAAAAAAAAAATACGACTTCCCGAAGCAAAGACTCAAGTGTGAAGTGTGCCCACTGGGTCTCAATACTACCTCCCAGCAGCCCCTCAAGTGTTGGTTTTATAGCCTTTTTACAGATGAAACTCAGGTGTAATAACCAACTACACAAGAACATCTCAGGTCACACAGCTGGGGCCAGAGAAGAGCGTTCTGAGTCCTGACCAGACAGGCCTTCCACCGCAAGCGTTTCCCAAGCGAGAATCACCTGGGAGTATTCGAAAACAAAAAAGCAAACCCCTCTCATCACCGGGCGAGCTTGGGGAAGACGGTATTTCACGATCCAACCTGGAGACAGGAACCTGTACCCATTTAAGGCTTGTGGCTTCTCACTCAGCGACAACCCCGCCCTTAAACTGCTCAACAGTTTCCTGATCAAATGATCAATTTTCCTAAAGCCCCCTTAAGTCCAAAGCGTGGAATCTTCTTCTGCCCCTACACTGAATCTTGCCACTTTCCACTTCCCTGTAGAATTTCATTTCCGGCTGGGCCAAGGGTTTAACCACTAGGCTTCCAGTCATGTCCTGCAGCCCGCTTCCAGCCTGCCTGGCACCTTCCCCAGCCCCTCGGCTCCCACCGCGCTCATCCCAACCCAGCCTTTCCCGAAGGTCACGTTGTTTCCTGCGCCTGGAAGGGCTCCTTTCCCCTCCCGGCCCTTCTCGAGGCTCCGGGAACTCCTTCCCGGACTGAGCGCCCGGGCTTCCAGCCCCCTCGCCTCCCGCCACCCTGGCTCTGGGAATGCACACCGCCGCGCCGCGGGGCAGCGAGCGTGGTACCCTGCCGCACACCCCACCGCTCGGGCTCGGCCACAGCCCCCTGCCCGCTCCGCCACCTGGCTTTGAGTGGCCGCCCGGGAAGTCCTCGCCACTTCCCAGAATAGAAAGCAGCTGCCAA